TGCATTAGCAGATATCACTCGTTTTATAGCACGCTGAACGAGCTCAAAACCCAACAAAACATAACTTTATTTATATTCAAATGAAAACGGCTTCCAAGTTTGTCCATATGACGCAATAATGAAGTCTCTAGCACTTTGTACTTCTTTATGGTAAGCGTAGCCATGAGACCTACTTTGGCCCTTCCCGGTCTCCTCCCTCGAAAACTACCCGTTGGTTCTTCGAGATCTTGTTGGTCCACACACTACTCGACTAGTGCTACAAAAGGCGCAAGTTGGGTTCGCGTCAAGTTCTGATCGCGAAAATTGAGCATTACGAGGAGAATTGCGACTTTTTCTTCGAATTTAGAAAAAAGTGACTTTGCTCGAAAACGACTAAATAATTCTAAGAAAATGTCGAGCACTTTTTTCCTACAAGTATACTGATTAGAATTAAATTAACTCTAAGTAAAATAACTCTAGACATGCTTCCGTTCTTTTACAGTAGATGATCCTGTGAGAGCCCAAATCACCGATCCGGTCATTTTGGCAAACGGTTTTCTCCCGAGAAGCCAGGCGAATTTCTGGCCCACTACGATATTGTTGGAGTACACCAAGTGTACTATCATGAGCCATGGTGGGATTTTTGGGATCTTTTAAAATCTCCTGGAAAACCAAGTGAGATTTTTGGAAACCAGACCATGAAATTTTCCAATCGAATTTGCGATTTTTACATCAGCCATTTTATAGAGCATATCAGGTTACACATGTCAAGCTATTTTTATAATTATTCGATTAGTTTTGATGGAATCAGAAACATTTAGTTCAAATATTGCTCAAAAGCATACATATATACGTGCATGGTAACACTCTAGTGTTTGAAAATTTAAAACAGTTTAAACTTAGTTAAACAAGTTAGACTATCATTCTCTTTTCTGTTTCTTTTTCGGGTTTTTGCTGAATGAAAGAAATCTGATACATTTCTATGTACTGAATAGAACAGATGTTCATTTTTTATTATCAGTTACACAATCTAACACAATTTAGTGCTAAACTGATTTTTTCTATTTATAAATATCAGTTACACATGTATATACGTATTTATATATATCCGTTTTCAAATCAAATAATCAATTTTACGGTATTATGAAGATTTTTTTTCTTTTCAACAAAAGGAAAACGATACACTAGAAATATTCCCGATTTTCTCGCAAGTCAACTAACCCTTTAAGTACGCGCGTGCTCAATAAAGCACACTTTTTTCAAACTTGATAAATTCTAAATAACTCGCGACCGCAAAAAGACATCGAGATGCGACGATGCAGTTTTGTCTGCTGATCTCTATTATGTGTTAATTTTGCTTGCAAGTATATGAGAAGTGAAAAAGCCGGAAAATAAATGAAATAAGCGGGAACCAGTCAGATTGAGTGCGACGTCTTCTTGACATATTTTATCTATGGATATTTTCTCCCTAATTTTTGATTACTATATTTTTACACGATTGTGATGAACATTAATCACAGAAGATATGGTAGAATGTACGACCTTTGGTTCCTCACCCCTGCCTCCCTATGTATGTTTCAATAGCGAGTGCTCATTTTCAATGAATATCTCGAATGCTACAATAGTTAACTCTCATACTTTGTGTGAATAATCTAAAGACATTTTAGAATATCTGGTGCAGTTTTGAAGTGAAAATAATCTACCTAGGCTGAGTTCTGAATTTTTTTGGAAGAGCACCTCAAACTTCAAAAGTGACCCTCGATCGTAAAATAGCTGTATTTCAGTAACTATTAAGAGCTAACACTTCAAATTCATACCATAGATAGAGGAGAGACAGTGCTACATTTTGGTAAAGAGAATTTTGGTTTTACGAAAAAGAAATGAAACGCTGATATCTCACGAACCATCCAGTAAAAGAGACCCAAACTTGGTGGGTGATCAGCATTCGGGAAAAGTTATGATCACACAAAATTAGACGTCCCTAGCTATCATGGTCGAGCAATGGTACTCAAAGGGCTAATTAAAGTAGCCTTAATTAAAAGGCACTATTTCTCACAATTCACAATTTTTAACGAATGTAGAATGGCTGACTCGGACTTTAAGACAGATTATTTATCCGAAAAGGATACCAGCTAGTTTTTGAGTTATCTGGTTCACAATATGATTGTTTGACAAAAACAAAGCACTTATTTCATATCGAAGAGAATATTTACATAAATTAAATGTTAATAGTTAGCTCTGGAAGACGTTTGTTCAACTAAGATTGCTTTCCGGCTATCCTTTTGGTTCATGATAGGCAAGTATTTGAAATTAATTGCTTGCTAGCAGAACTAAACGGAAAGCTAAGCTCATTTGAACCGAGTTAATGTATCGTTGTATGTATCGTTGTTAATTTGACATTTTAAGCTCGATATTTTCCTTTCGTTCTTTCTGTTTCTTTCGCCTTACTATATTCTGTTTTTTCTAACACCATAGTTCAACTTAGGACTTCAAACATGTCCATTTATTTTTCTTCTGTCTCAATTCCGTCCATTTTATTATCTTATTTATGGTAGTTGTAAAGAACAAAATGAAAAGAATAAATTTTCTGTTTTAGTAGGAATTTAGTTTTCTATCTTTTTCTCTGTCGCTATGAATTTAATCCATAATCCGTCAATTTGATCGATTAATATCGCATTAAGTCGAGAGTACTTACTTGCCTTTTTTACTCTAGTTTCGAGTACACAAGCTACACATTATGCTCAGCTATTTTGCAGAAAGAGATCGCCTGAATTTGTGGAGATATTGGACCGTCAATATCACTGTTTAATACATCAAAAAAGTAGTTTTTTTTACATTGAATTACATAAATAATCCAATTTTAGTAACAGTAATCAATTAGTCTTGTAATTGTATCACCTGATACGTATACGATGAACTAATACACACACATATATGTCTCAAGTAACCTATTAAATTAATTTGTAAACAGAAATTCTGTGTATAAATAGTAGTACAGAAAATGTATGAAGCAAGAATAACCCACAAACAAGTGTTGAAATACAGAAAAGAGTTTTCTCAAAAATTATTAAGAATTGTCAGAGTTACAGAATGTACTTATCTTGAATTGATGTACACGGTAGTAAATACACTAAAATATTGATTTACTCGAAAAAAAAATAGGTCATTTTATTCAGTTTTTTTGCGCGGATATCATAGAGCAGAAAATTATGGCGTCTTCTACAGAAGATTTATGTCTTGAATGAAAGAATAAGTAATGTTAATATTTGTTTTTCTACAAAATATCATTTACATTTATTGTAAATTTTGGCATAATAAATTGAGGAGTAACACTTTTACCAGAGATGTAGGTTTGTTCATTTTCATATACATTAAGATTTTGATTTGGTCGTGTGTAAACATGAAGAACAGAATTTGATGAACTAATCACCCAAACTTCCGGTACTCCATGCGCCGCATAAATAGGCAGTTTTCGATTGAGTGTATGTGAATTTAACACTTCGATGATTAACTGAATATTGGTTGCATTAGGTCCTGCTGTTCGATCACGTAAATTGTAGTCTTGAAGAATAGTACAGTCGGGCGAAATTTCATCATTTCCCGAGAATCTAATCGATTTTTCAATCCATACTACATATTTAGTCTCGTCTAATTGACGAATGAATAAATACATTAGGTTTGTGACGATATCATTATAAGAAAAGCTTTGTGTCATTCTTGGATAAAAAGTGCCTCGGATATAATCGCCTTTCAAACCTATATAAAAAACATAAAACAATTTAACAAAGGTAATTCTTTTAATTAAAATACACATTGCACGATAAAGTAGAGAAAAAGTGAAAACATGCAAAAAATAATGATCTCAGTCGATACAACTGTCAATTAATAGTGTTATATGGGAAAAGGGTCTAGTGTGGCTGTTCAAAAAATGGCAACAACTCGAGTTTTTTTATATTATGGGTTGGAAATGTGAAAGAAAACTTGTAGAAATAGGCCATTTTTGAACACTGACAACTGATTTCGGAGAAGATTATAAATTTCGTTCAGATTTCTGATAAATCCGTTTTTTATGCAGAGGTCGGGACCTTGAAAATAAAAAAGTATTATAATAGTCTAAACCACATTGTAAAAACTATTTCATAACTGACTACCCAGATTAGTCGGCCACGCAAAATAGAAGGCCATGTTGGAGCGAAAGTGTTGCACAACCCCTTTAGATGTAGCACAAGTTTTTCAAGAAAAGTCTTCGATGTACAGAATCACGACAGAAGGCCATGACCTTCGATTCTGAGGGATTAGTTGTTGTTTTTATCCTTTATCTAAAAATGTCTCAACAATCCATATATTCCATGGTTCTTAGAGGTTTCATTCGGCTTAAAGATAAAGAATTTGAAAAATGTCATTTCCATGCCTTTTAAGAAAGAGTCCAAGATCTAGCTTGGAAACCAGAAGTCCGGACTTTTATCTGGACTTCTGGATAAAACTCCTAGAGAATGTTCATCTAGTAAAACTAGGGTTACAAGACTTTTTTACGGGCTCCATCTGCTATCGTTCAGGAGCTGTACTTTAAGGGTCAAAAAGTACGTATTGCTACTCTTCAACGTAGAGGTTAGAGAAAGAACCCGGCGGTTTTAAAAGGAAGCAAACATTTAAAACCTACCAGAATCCAATTTTTGAGCTGTTCTAAGCAAATTTTCAGGAGCTTCCAAAAGTGAAAACTGTGAAGAACGGATCTGGACTTTTCCAGAAATCCTTCTCTACATTAGTTCTCTGATATCTCTAACACGAAGCGTTTTGGAGGTACGAACAACAAAGACGTGCAAAAACAGTTCCGAGAATAATTTATTGTTACTGAAAACTACTTTTTCGCCTTATTTCGGCTTTTGAAAGTTTAGTGAAGCTCTCTATAAATTTTCTATAGTGGAGATTCTGTCACACGTATGCTCACAAAAGTGCTGCATATGCGTATGTTTTTTCAATGCCATTTCTTAACCTAAGTTTATTATATATACATTTCCATCGAGCTTTCAGAAAACTTCCTAAGAAATCACTAATACATGTTTAGCTAATAAAAAACTGATGCATTCGGAAAAGAATACCAGAGGCTATATCTTTATGCACTTTTCTCCGAATCGATATTTTTGATGAGAATCGTCAAATCTGACCTAGGCGGCTTAATTAGAAATAGTCTACCGGCACTTAGAAACTGTCAGAAAACTAAGATAGTTTTGTAGAAGCTCACACTTTTTACTTCAGTTCTGCATATCAGCCTTATTTAGCGGTTTGAAAAGAACTAGGAGAGTATTTGTTACCTTCAATCTCACGTATCTGCTGGTACTCAGTGGCAGTCAATTTTCTTTCCATTACTTTTGAACATAGTATGAGATTAGAATAAAAATTTATAGTTTACAGAATGAAAAATAAGAGAAACAAATTTCTTTCTCTTTCTCTTTCTCTCTCGCTCTTTGTTTGAAGTACGAGTATATATCAGCGGAGATTGGAGGATCGCATGTCAGTTGACAAAATTTATTAATTATGGGCTGCAAAATAGAATGTGAATGTGCTCACGAGGAAACATAGCGACATGTCTGACTCCGTTTTCAATGATTCATACCTCGATCTAGATTAGGCTCGTTCAGCAATAGTGTGTCGACTGTAATCGTGGTCAGAAACTGTAGTTCGTGTTTCAGATTTTCTCTCTCATTGTGATAGAGACGACACTGCAGAAAGTAACGTTCAACATCCTCCTTTCCATTCCCACATTTACATTTAGGCGAGTCTATACACTTCCGTTTATGCAGATAAAAGTTTAAAGACGGAAAACCAGACTTTAATCTCATAAAAAAGATTTCATCTCGTCTAGAAGGAAATTTATCCAACATTGACTGAGTCTAGTTAAAAAATAGGCTTTTGTTAACCTACCTTTATTTTTTTTTAAAATATATATCTGCTCATTGAACGCAATTTGAATATATTCTCTTTTATCATATTTAAACGAGCTGATGTAATGAACAGTAATATCTGACTCACACACGTTTGCATTTGATGTCACTTGATATCTGTTCTAATTGAAATAGATTCTTATTCTATGAAACCAAGTTCTTACTCAAACCACATAAATTCAATCTTGTGTTTCAACGTATCTCTAGAATATCCGTTTTCTCCAGCAAAAACGCATTAAAAAGATAGCGTTTCAACGCCTTTATAAAAAACAAATTTTTCCGAAAAAGAAAAATGCAGCAAAAGAAACGCGTTTTAGCGTGTTTCTTAATGTTTCTTAAAGAAGATTTGGTTTCTTTACTTGAAAAACGTATCTGAATATACGTCAAAAAAAAACTCATTCGAATGCATAGTATTAAATGCGTTCGAATGATGTTTTTGACAGCGTTTGTTGGAGAGAAAAATGCGTTCTCTTATCACGCGTTTAAACGTTGTTTTTAGTTGACGTTTTAAGTTGATAAAATGCGTTGCGAATAAAAACGGTGCGTTTCAACACGTTGTAAGCAGAACAAGATGCGTTTAAACAGAAAAAAAAGCGTTTTTTCCTAAAAGTTGGCGTTCAAACGCGAACTTTTATAAAAAAATTTTCGTGGGTATCATGAGGCTGATGGCGTTGTAAATGAACAGTAAGATATTGACGAGTAAAACCTTTTACTATTTTTGCAAAAGATAACAAACGAAGTATTCTAAAATGATCTTTTATTGTGATCCGACCTAAAATATCAAATAATTTGTCCTTCCTGATCCTTGCATTGCTCCTAAGGTGGCCAAGGCAGCATAATACTGCATACTCTCTAGTTTATTCAAATTAATCGATGTAGTCAATGAGTAAATGACAGCACCGTAGTTCAAAATTGATAGTACACAAGATTTAAAAATAATTTCAAGTGCATTTTTATTCAATAAATGCTTATGCAGTTTCATTAATCCTACAATAGACGATACCTTAGGGAACGTTTCAAAATGTATTCCGGTCTGTCGGTCGCTATTCCTCTATTCTCCGACTATTCCTCTCTTATTCCTCTGTCATTCCTCTACTCCGCTCTTCCTCTATTCCCCAATTATTTCTCTATTATAAAATTTAAATTCTAATTTATTTTATTTTATTTCGTATAGTTCGGTTTCTTTGATTGTATTGTTGATACATACATCGGCATATATATACTTCCAATGTGTTCGTTTTTTTTACAGACATCTTTATAAGAGCAGACATTTTTCTGTTTAAAGAATAAAAGAGGAAAGTGTGTTTTGATCACCAAAAATTACACTTTTGATCACCAAATTTATTTCTATCGAAATGATCACCAAAAAACTACACTTTTGATCACCAAATCAATTAAAGAACATTTAAATTAAAGAA